GGTGCTCTATTGGGTATGAATGATAAAATCTTAAAATTACTAGTCTGCCTTATAAAATCTTAAAATTTATATAATAGTCTTTGAAATTATACCTAAATTTATAATGATCCAAATTTATATGATGAGTAATTAGTGGGTGAGTAGATGTGGGGCAGACGGATGCAGAACGGATAAGGTCTAAATCCATCACCTACTCACTCACTACCCACAGTAAGTATGACTTTTTACATCCATATCCGTCCACTATCTCTAAACTTATATCCGGCAGACGGATGCAGAGCGGATAAGGTCTAAATCCATCACCTACTCACTCTCTACCCACAGTAAGTATGATTTTTTACATCCATACCCGCCCACTATCTACTAAACTTATATATATTCCCGCTCCTATTAGAACGAATACGGTGCTAAATCCATGAAATTGTACCCGTCTGTCATCCCTATATGTATAGTCTCCAACTACACGTTGTAGGCAAAAATCATGCCACAACAATTGTGTGTGACAACTATCATCAATCATTCGATAAATATTTATCTAAAAATTTATATTTAAATAAATAAAGAAATAATAATTAAATGATGTGATATATGCTAATACTATACTGTTTCATGTCTATCTATCTATGTATGTCACAATCACATTCATCAATCCAACAAGTTAATCAAGCGGGATCCTACTAAAGAAATCTAAGATGGAACAAGTCAAAAACCAATCGAGGTTCCGACTCGACTCGATCGGGTCAGATTTTTTTTTTAAAATACGGATTCAGGTAGGGTCGGGTCGGTTTTTTTTTTAAAGCACTGTTCGGGTTGGGTCGGGTTTAGGGTGAAAAAATCCGACCTGACTCGACCCGAAAAATATATATAATTTTATCTATATATTTAGAGATAATTATAATATTACCCCTCTATATATAATTTTTTTCAATTAATTCACTATCTTTATTGAATAAAAATATTTTTTTAATTATTTCGGGTCAGGTCGGGTCGGGTTTCTAAGTCATATATTCGGGTCGGGTCGGGTGAAACCTTAATTTCTTCGGATCGGGTCGGGTCACGGGTGGAGGACCCTTTATTCTCGGGTCGGGTCGGGTGACCCAAAAACCCGACCCGACCCGACCCATCCAACATGGGGCAAATTATGAACATGATAGTAGTTGAATACAGATCATAAAGATGAGCTGAATGACTAGAAGGGGAGGAAGATGATGTCATGGAAGAAACCATATATGGACATGTATGCATGTAACATTCTACATATGATGTCTTAATCAGTAGTCGGTTTCACATGTGGATAAGATATGATGGTATAGTTGCATTATCCAAATTCCATCCAATATCTTCTAGGCAAGTAATTCTTTACTCAAGCCCTTGTTTTTCAGACCTAATGATGAAAATTATATAATGTTAAGGGATTAAATAAGGAATTGAAGAAATAAAAAAAATCAAAGACTTCAAATGATTTAGGAGTGTGTGACAAAAAATTTCTCAAAAGAAGACTTCAAATGAGGAAAGAATTGAAGGGAAAAAAAATCAAAGACTAAGAGGTTGTTTGTTTGCCTCTTAATGGAATCATTCAGCGTTGAATGTTGAACCGTTCAACATTCAACGCGTTTGTTTCGCGCCTCTGAATGATTCAGTGCTGATTGATTCAGCACATAAGTACATTCTGAATGATTCAGAGCCATTAAAAACAGCATGTCACATTCAGAGTTAATTCATACAGAGCCTCTGAATCATTCAAGATTTGAATCATTCAACGCTTAATCATTCTGAAGTAAACAAACAACCCCTAAATTATCTTTTTGGTCAAAATAGATACCTAAAATTATCTTATTGGAGTATTTAAAGTATTTCTTAGTTAAAATAAATATTTAAAGTTATTTTTTGGTCAAAATAGGTATTTAAAATTATCTTTTTAGTTAAAATAGATACTTAAAGTATCCAATTTTTTCATCTAAGTACCTAAAGTATTCTTTAATTAATGTTATATGTCAACTTTTTTAGAATTTAGATGAAATTTTTTTGAATAGTTTAGGTACCTATTTTGACATATAATACTTTAGATACATGTTTTGACAAAAAAAAATAACTTTAAATATTTATCGGAAGAAAAAGTCCAAAATATAAAGAAGGTATATTTTCCATATTCATGCATAAGGACAACTTCGAAAATCATTTCCCTTCAATTGGAAGAAAAATGAAGTCTTTGGACAAGACAAGTATGAGCTAAGGATTAAAGGTTGTATTGTCCTCTTGAGCTTTTCGGGTCAACTCAGTAATAATAATAATACAAGATAAGCACTGGACAACAAGAACGACAAGATTTCCGAGTTGCCACACCAATAAAGTAGTGGCCCTTTTGTCTGTTTAATTATGATTCGCTAATTAAGCAAATAAGGGTCGAAAAATAAAGCATCGTGTTGTTGCTGTTTTTTTTTTGGTCTAAAAACGTTAATGGAGGTGAGTCAGGAAAGCAGAAAATCAGCTGTGTTTTGTGGGGTTAAGGACAAAACCATTTTCTGTTTAGTTTTATCCGATTATACGTCGATGTTCCATTACATCAATGTCTTATATGATCATTGTCATTTCAGTCTTGTCCCATTGCTTCCCAGGTTGATCTCCTTCACTATATAAGCTTATTGGTAAGTTTGTTGTTGATATAGCTTCGTTTTCTTCTTGTTTGAAACTTTTTCCATGGCTAATGCTTCTATTTCTGGGCTGGTGCTGTTGTTCATCATCATTGTGTTGATGCTTATGATGGTGCGCTGTGAATCAAGGTCTTATGATTACGGTGAGCCGACCGTGGCTGGAAAGATCGATAGCATGACTATGTTGGAGAAACTCGGTTACGATTTATCGAAAATCGGGTATTACAGAAGAATGTTGAGTGGTAGCCCGGAGAGAATCTCGCCCGGAGGACCGGATCCTCAGCATCACTTTTAATCATCAGCAGCAGCTTTGAAGTAGATGATCAGAGAATTGCAGGGTGTTGTGTCGGTTCTTTTTAGTGGAAATTTTAGGCCTCTTGAACCTGTAGGACTCTAGACAGAACCGAGAGCTGTAATGATAGGCATTGTAAGAGTCCTGTTAATGCTCGAGTTGTGATAAATGTGGAACTTTTATTTCAATAACAGTCTTTATTTTCATGAAAGTTGTGGATATATTAAATGAAGTGTTTATCTAACTGACAAGGCATTGCTAGAAGGATCAGGGTAAGATCGAGCCCTCGAGGCGCCGATGTCGGGTTCATAAACACGTCGACGATGTTGTAGATTTTGTACAGCTCCGAAGCGTCCAATGTGCCTAAAACCTTCACATTTGAGCCCTGTTGCTCTGCATACCTTTTGTCCCACGGATCAGATTCTGCTACAAGCAGATATAGAACAGTTTATGTTTCGAGGGATTCCGATACCATGCTTTTTCCGGGACGTTGCACCGGCTTCCGAGCACGAACTTCATCGATCACATGGACGTTCCTAGGAGGGGAGCTCATAGATGTTGACATGTACCTTACCAACACTATTGGTTATACACATGTTTATGTACGGCCTTGGAAAGAACTTGATCTCATCATCTACTAGTTTGCAAGTGTTATCCGTCAGATAATCTACAAATTTTACTTTCAGACTCTTTTAGAAGTTTGTCAAGTGTTATCCGCCAATAGGATACTACTTTATTAAGTCACTCAACTATTAAAAGTTACAAAATGGTATTTCGACTATAGAGTGTTGATTTGTTGAGTTCCTCGACTATTAAAAGTTACAAAATTATCACTTAGCTATTCATTATGTTTTAAACTCGTTTTTTTCATTAAAAAATTGATGATTATCTAAGCTGAACATTAACATGATGATTGAAATATGATAGTCGTTTGAGATTCTTAGATCATATTTTATCATATCACAATTGGCATGTAAACATTCAACTTAGAATATCATCAATTTTTAGCGGAAAATGACGAGTTTGTAACATAATAAATAGTTGAGTGATCATTTTGTAACTTTTAATAATCGAGGGACTTAATAAAGTAATATACTATAGTCGGGGGACCATTTGTGTACTTTACCCATAACATTTTTATAAAATATTGGCTTAATGTCCAAATAAGTGTCCAAACTATACCTTTTGTGTCAAATAAGTGTCTAACGTTACAAACGTTAGCCTTTTAGGTGCTCGAACCATCAACGACATTAGTTATTCTCGTTAAGTGACACATGTCATTACATAGTAATTTTAATTTTTTTAAATATTAAAAATATTATTATATTTATATAAAACCCTAACTTTTCTTATATTATAAAACAACCCCAAAATCCAAAATCCTAACTTTAATCTGCTGTCGCCGTCCTCTTCGACCATGACCATAACTGCCGAAGTAGTCCTTGCCATCATCTTAGTTATATGTCATCGTAGTTTTCGTTGATTCATTGATGGAATCACGTGAGATCGATATTTTCATCATAGGGTTCGTGGGATTTAAAAAGTCAATTTATCATCGATCGATCGTTAATCGGTGACGATTTCATAGGATTTTGGTCGCCGGCGGAAGGGAGGTCGGGTGGAATTTCTTCGCGGCAAAGGGTGGCTGTCGTCATGGGTTTAGGGGTTGAAATGAATGTTTTCAAAGATTAGGGGCTATTTCAAAATTTATGTGTTTTCTTTTTTAAAAATATATAATTTTATTTTATCTTTTAATTTTATATTAAAATTTTAAAATTACCAGGTTGTGAAACATGTCACTTAACGAAAAACTAACTCTGTTGATGGTCCAACACCTAAAGTGCTAACGTTTGTAACGTTAAGCACCTAGATGGACAAAAAAATGTAAGTACTTATTTGACACAAAAAGTATAATTTGGGCACTTATTTGGGCATTAAACCTAAAATATTCTGTTTTATTCTCAGCTGAGCCCAAATTTCAAAACAAAAATTTGTTGGCCCAAAACCAAACCGGCTTACAAGTTCAGACATAAAAACCGCGAGGTCCCCAAGGCTATAAAAACAAAACACACGTACAATTCTCCTTCTCTTTTATCTTCAATATCAAGTCGAAAGTCGGTGCCTGTTTTCTTTTGCGAGTTTCCTAGGGTTAGGGTTTTAAAGGCGAAGAATCCTCAAAGATGCAATTCATGGATCCGATCAAAAAGCGCAAGCTTGATGAAAACGGTGCAGTTTCAGCCATAACAGAACCTGATCCAATCATCAAACTTACCCCACAAGATGGCCGCAAACTAATCGAGCGCTTCACCCTCGAGCAGCTCCTGGACATCCTTCAAGAAGCCGTCTGTCGCCACGTCGACGTTCTATCTGCCGTCCGATCTATCGCCGACCAGGACCCATCTCAACGGAAGCTCTTCATCCGTGGGTTGGGTTGGGATACCACAACTGACGGCCTTCGTTCGCACTTTTCTGTCTATGGGGAACTCGAAGAAGCGGTTGTTATCCTCGACAAGACTACCGGGAAATCGAAAGGGTATGGGTTTATTACGTTTAAGCATGTTGATGGTGCTTTTCTTGCTCTTAAAGAACCTAGTAAGAAAATTGACGGAAGGGTTACGGTGACACAGCTGGCGGCGGGGGGTAATTCGGGGATGAATAGTAACCCGGTGGATGTTCATATGAGGAAGATTTATGTAGCCAATGTACCGTATGATATGCCGGCGGATAAGTTATTGGGTCATTTTGCTCAGTATGGGGAAATAGAAGAGGGGCCTTTGGGTTTCGATAAGCAGACGGGGAAATCAAGGGGATTTACTCTTTTTGTTTATAAGACTGCAGAAGGGGCTCAGGCAGCGTTAGTGGAGCCGGTGAAGAACATTGATGGGAGACTAATGAATTGTAAGCTGGCTATTGAAGGGAAAAAAGGGAAGCAAGGACAAGATGGGATGGTGCAAAGTGGAGGTGCAGCTCCGGTTAATGCAGAGATGGGAATGGGAGGACCTGGTGGAGGATACGGTGGGCCTGGCGGACCGGGTGGTTATGGTGGGTTTTCAGGTGGACTGCAAGGGCCGCCCGGTCCAATGGGTCATCCTCATCCCTTGAATTCATCAGGAGTTGGAGTGGGGGCTTTGAGTGGAAACGGAGTTGCTGGTGGTGGTTATGGATCTGGACTTGGTGGTCCCTATGCTGGGTACGGTGGTCCAGGTCCAGCTGGCTATGCTGGAACAGGTTCAACCGGCTATGGTGGGTTGAGTACTGCTGGTGCTGGCGCAGGGGGTGCGTTGCCTGCTGCAGCTGGAGGATCTTCATTGTATAGATTGCCGAATAGTTCTGTTGGGATGCCGACTGGTGGTTATCCAGAGGCTGCTCATTATAGCTTGTCTTCCGCAGGTGCATTCCCTAATCAGCTTCACCAAGGAGCTGGGGCATCCCCTGCTCCAAGAGTTCCACCCGGTGCTATGTATCCCAGTGGGCCACCTTTCTACTGAGGTTGTTTTCCATGATTTACCATTCTTTAAATTCATGTTTTATGTGTTTTTGACTCAGCTGATAATTTAGATCGAGTTAATTTTTGTGTTTGTGTTTGCTGATGTGCTTATCGTGGGTATTATTCCTTGTGTGTAATTGCTTCAAAAGTTTTGGTTTTTTACCTGCTTTGTTCCGTAAGAATGTGTTGCTTGCGTGCTAATATGCTTGTATAGTTGTCTACATGCAGTTTTACTTTGCTTTTGTAGAATATAATATATGTGGTCAAATTTTGTTGTGTTTTTAAATGGCTTAGTGTTGAACATTAGCCTTATTATTTCATTTTTATGTCCGAATCTTTTTTGAGAATGATATGCCTGTATTGTACTGCTGGTGGTTAATATCTATGCTAGAAGCTTTTGATTGAGTTTTTTATTACGGGTCAATTGATTCCTGCTGGTTAGTGAAATTATCCAAAAGACTGTTGTAAACATTCAAAATGAAGGATATAAATGTCATTATATTTCCATTTTAATATTCCTGTATGCAATCAAGAAAATTATGATTTCCTCTAGTTACTGAACTTCTTTCATACTCCACCTGTTTATTACAACTTTTGTATTTATTTTCTCCTAAATAGTGGTTGTGCTAAAATTTCCTTATTTTAGTATGGCATTAAGATTTCCCCCTGTGGCTTACCGAATATTGATATCTTTATTTTCCATTTGCCTTGTGTTGGAAGGCATATTATTATCTCGAGTCTAATCATGGCTAGAGAACCATTTTCAGTGTGTGGATTATACTACTTGTTGGAATGTACTGAATGAATTGTTGTGTTGATAAGCATTCTTCAGATATGGTACTACCAGTTAGGGAACAAATATTTTCTATTGAGATTGTATTAGATTCAATCTGTGTAATCAGTTCCCCAGATATGGTGGCAGTTCTCTTTTGTGTTTGAGTTTGCTGTCCCTTTTTCATGTGTATGCAGTTTTTTTAGTGTCTTACTTGGTTGTATTATCAATATTGCCCATGATTGTGTATTTCATTTTATTGCATGCAAGGACAAAAAGAGTAGATATCAATCTCAATATGGTGCCTTGTATTTGGTCACTATCTACAGTTCAACTTGCCTTAAACGTGTCATTTTTGCATTGTAGTTCATTTTTCTTATTTGCTTCTGGTGTTTAGCATGCATTTTTTCTGTTTGTTTTAATTGTTGGCTAGTCTGACTATAACTAAATATATTATCTTCATCTTTTTTAAAATGAAATCTAGCTTTTTTTGGTTTTCAAATTCTCTTGAGGAAAGTTTTTAACACTGTGGAGTCGTATGATTCCCTTTTTTTTATGTTTTGTGGTGCTAATTAGATAGAAGATGTATTTGGTTGACTGATTACCGCAAGGTCTGTGTGTTTCTGTTTGCACTTTGAGTTTGACAAGGGACAAACATCTGAGGTGATCCCTTCAAGTAAGCACATTGGGCATGTGCGTGTGTTTTTGTTTCCCTAGATTTGCTTTAATACATTGTTTCCAATTAGTTTTTGACCTTTCTGCTTGATGATGTAAAATGATGAATTGGGTTGTTAATGGGTGTTTGATTCAGGTTTATGACAGCTTGTTGGACGGAGATGCTTTTTGTGGTTCTGGTGATTGCTTGCCTGAATGCAGACTATATGTACTCTGGCTAGATGAATGTATTAGCTGGGCTCTTACAGCCACTTCTCTTGATTTGCACCTCTAAGATGTTTTTTTTCTTTTCTTTTTTGGTCGTTGTAGTGCTGGTTGGCAAACATATGGTGTAGATTATTTTTCTATGTTTTGTTAGCAAACTTTGTTCCTGCGGTACCTTTTAGCCATTAGTATAATTTTTTAATAATACAAGTAATGACTTTTTTTTCCTATTTTCACTGGTATGTGGTTGTTATTGAATCTCCTCTTTGTGGAATTATACATTTTTCTTGGTTGATATCACTCTTCATGTTGAGTTTTCTATTGCTTACTCTGATGGACTACTAATAACATATATTCAGCTTATTTTTATTGAACTTGAATGTAATTCTTTATTTTGCTATATAAATTAATTGGTTGTACAGAACTTTCCCTGGAGAAGTGTTACAGCACCCTTGTTTTCTTTTGGGTGTGGACAAAGTTCACACACCATTTTTTCTGATGTAAACTTTTGCATCCTTGTTACAACTTTTTCTGTACCTGACATAATTATGTGTTAGGATTGTCACCCAAAGATGATTTCAAGATTATCGTGTCATCAGTTTGTCATATAGTTGAGAGTTTCAGTGATCTTTGACTCTTCATCTGATACTTGCCTGGCACACCTTTTTCCCAAGTTTTTTTCTGGTTTGTTCAATGTGCAAAATTGTTAGAATGCCCCAATATCATGGACTTTCTGAGTGGGTTCTTACTTCAATGGCGAACCTAATGATGTGAGAACAAATATTTCATTAAGTATACCTGTGATTTGTTCGGTTGCTTCTTCATCTTGTGCTGCAATTTGTTGAGTGTTGGTGTGTACTTAGCGGTTTACTTGTATAATACCAGTGGTCTTTTTCCGGTTTTGTTGAATTTGTAAAGGTGCTCTTGCTTGTACCAATTCATTGGCGACCTGAACTTTCTCTCATCTACTTCAACTGTCTCTGGTGTCTGTCTTCTTTGTCGGTCGACGTGTATTTTTTTAATCCAGTGGACTGTCTATGTTAGGTATTTTGATAGGTTTGGGGGAGACCTGTTGAAATGCCAACTTTCCCCCCCCCCCCTTTTGTTTGGCAGGGGCTGTCCCTGCAACTAACAACCAGATTTCTGTAAATGATGAAAACGTTAAAGTTACTTGCTGAAACCAAAGTCAATAGCCCTGTTGGAACACTTTCCTTGTGGGTTATGCTCGTGATAGCTGATTTTGTTATCTTTACCTATTGGATTCTCTTGGCATGTTCCTCTAAAAAGAGGTTCTTGTTGCGAATGAATGAGTGTTTTTTCAAGTGGTTTTTATAGAAACCCTTATGTTCTATCTGACTCGTTGTTGCCAAAATTATGCTTCAAATACAGTTTTCCATTTTGCTGTATCTTGAGCTTTTGACAATGATTCTTTGTTGAGATTAAATATTTTTCTTAGATGTTTACGAAAATAGGAGCCGTTTGCTTGATTTAACTAGTTTCATTGTCATACTCTTTGGATTTTCCGCGTATATCTCTATGTCGCGTTCAATAATATATGTTTTCTGCCGAGGAATAGGGGGCATATTACTCCTTTTAAGGATGGGGTAGGTAGTGAAGTTGTATTGCTGATATGAATTTGCTGGTGTTGGTGGGATTGTGATGCTCTTTTATCATATATTTTAACTGGCATTGGTACCTTCTTTTTCTTCTTTCCTTCCATTGCCGAGGAGCACTGTTGGGGGGCATAAAACCAACCAACCAACCTCAAAGATGAGATGGAAGCCTAGTTGGAGCAACCACAGGCACAGCATGCAAAGATGGATACGGGAGGATACTAACGATAAAGACGGACTCGATTCTCTACCGGAGGATACCGATCGTTAGTTTCTGGAGATGTCATTCCCTACCCTGGAGATTTCTGAATTGGTGTAGCAATCCATGGAGGAAGAGAGGGAATGGGGCCAACATATTTCTTTTTCAAATTCAGCCTTTGTTTTCAACCATCTAGAAATGAAAAACTCGGTTTTTGACAATTCCAATGATATGTTGGCTTAATGCTAATCAGAATCTGACGTTTTCTGATCAATTGCTTGATTGTTTGCGATGTGGGAAAATGAAAAGATGCTCTAAAGACTAATATTATTTGATCAGTAAAAGTAGATTACAACTGTCAATGAGTTTGTTACAAGTGGTCATTTTTGGTGGGCACCCCGACTTAAAACTTTTTTTATGTAAAAAAATTACTACCTTTTAGAATCATTTTAATTATAAGTTGTTTAAACAAAAGATGTAATTTTTTAATATTTGTACACCAAAAAGTTTTAAACTTTCTTTGTTTTTGGATATAAAAGATCGGAACTTTTTTTATAAAAAAATAACTCAAAAAACGTCAAATAACCATATGGCAGTAGCCACTGTAAAACAGTGAAGAGTAGTAGCTTATAAATACAAAACGTCCCAGGCTTTTCCTCCTCCTCGAGCCTGTCGAACAATTGTTTTTTTCTGGTTTGCCTTGTGGATTTAAGTTTTTATTTAGACTCTAATAATCCTTCTTCAAATGATCATTCTTTCTACAGTTGTAACACTTTAAATTCTTCTTGCTCCTCGACTTCGATCTACCATGTTTGTGACTGCTGCTTTGGCCACGTTCTGTTGATCTCCCTCTTATCGTTGTCAACGCTTCTGCTTGTTGCAGATTTACTTGTCTGTCTTTCTTGTTCTTGCGCCGATTTTCTTCTTGTAGAACAACAGCTGCAACATCATCAAAGACTAGACTAGTGACATTACTGTTTGTCAAGTTGATTATGAGTTGATCATACGAATCAGATAGACTTTGAAGTAGAAGTTCAACACGTTCTTGTTCTCCTATTGTACATCTTAAGGATGTAAGCTAAGAAAATAACGTGTTCAGTGTGTTTAAGTGCTCCGTCACTGAAGTAGATTCTGGCATACGAAGAGTGTACAATTTCCTCTTAAGGAAAATTTTATTGTGCAACGATGTGGTTTCGTACAATTTGGTGAGATTATCTCATATCTCCTTAGCTGTTTTCTTTTCCTCGATGCTTGACAATATTTCATCTGCTAATGCTAGATGAAAGTTTGCCATAGCATTCCCGTCCATTTCTATCCATTTGTTGTCATCTGTCTTTCCTCGGGATGGCCTTCATCTTCAATTTCCACAATGAGAAATTTCTCCCATTAAATTTTTCAATATCAAATTTCGTTGCCATAGCTTCTATTACGGATAGCTCCCACTATTTCACTATCGTGAATAGTTCTCTGGAACCTTCAAAGAATGGGTAATACCTTCTTACTTTCTTATGTTGGAGGATCCACCTTTTGGTGGCAACCACAAAGACAATAAGCAGATATTACACACTCTAATCTAGCTCTGATACCAATTGTTGCGGAAGAAGGCTATCGTATAGAGCAAAATCGCAACTGATAATTTGAGAAAATAAAAATGAAGATAAAAGAGACACACAATTTACGTGAAAAACTCCTAAAAATTATTAGGGTAAAAACCACGGGCAACGGTAGAAGGATTTTACTATGAGAAAATAGGAATTAAACCTCTCTCGATCTACCAAGGAGAAAACAATGATAATTCTCTCTAGATAAAAAGGAGAAAACAACTCTCAAGAAACTCTCTAAAATCTCTCTAGTATTGGAAGAAAACTAGAATGCTTTGGGATGATTTTGAAGCTAAATGAGCTAGGGTATTTATAGTTGAAGCTTTAAGGACTAATTTGTAAATACCCTAAATTACAATGACTAATTGCATAGTTTTATCATCCAAAATTTTCAACAATTTAGTGGTCAAATTTGACCAATTTTACCACCCCATGAATGCCACCAAATTGTCACTCATAATGTTGACAATTGATGCAATTTGGTGTGCCAATTTTCAACATTATCTTCTTGGAATCACTCTCTAATGTTATTCTCGTGATGCCAATGAATTTTGCAAAATGAATACCTTGGAGGATTGCTAAAGTTTCTGCCATAAACACTGAGGCAATGCGGTGATTGTGAATAAAACCAGCACCATCTCTGGTTATGAAACCTGAGCAAGATTTCTGGTGTGCATGGGAGAAGCAAGCATCAACGTTCAACTTTGCTGTGGGCTCAAGGGAAGGCGTCCATTGGGCCAAAACATGAGTGTGTGGATGGAGCAGTGAGGAGGAAACATCCTGCATTTCCGTACAGTGGCTACAAACAAAGGTGACAACATTCTCCTCTGATTGGTATTGGTGTTCATAGATAAATCTATTTCTTGCATACCAAAGAGACCAAATAGTGATTGCAATAGTAATGTGTTTACCTTTGTGATGAGTCCTAAAAAGCCAATCCTTGAAACAACGGTTGCTTGCCTCGTCTGACCACCGAATATCTAGTAACCTCCGCACATTCCTTGCTTATGGACAATCCCTACCAACATGGTTATTGTCTTCAAATGACTGGTTGCATCTAGGACAGGAATTGCTATTACTGACACGCTTTGTAAAAAGATTCTGCATTGTGGGAATATAAATTTCCACAATAAGATCTTTATCTTGTTCTGACACTGGTAACCCGGAACGTTCACCCTTCCAGCAGAGGATGTCATTTTGATTGGAATTCAGCAGACGAATTCCAAGGATGGATTCTACATCTTCCTCATTAAAGATAGAGTTGATGAGGTCAATGTTCCAACTCCTCTCATCCATATCGATTAAATCGGAAACTAACTCCACTTGTGTAGACGGTGAGGAAGTTACTTTGCCAACAGGAAACTGCAGGAGTCAACAGTCATTCCAACTAGACATGGACAGACCATTCCCGATCCTCCAACCCATACCCTTCTCGAGAAGTCCCCTCGAACTCAAACTAGGGATGCAAGCAAGTACAATTTCGTGGATTTCGTACCGCACCCGCTCTAATTGGGACGGGGATGGGTATAATTTTAGTGGGTAGTAGGCGGGTATAGATTTAGAAAATGGTATCCGTCGCGGGTAGTGGGCGGGTAATGGGTTTGAGACCTTATCCGCCCCGCATCTGCACCGCATCCACCCGCCCCGCATCCGCCCGCCCAACTAATATCCATTAAATTTTGGACCATTATGAATTGAGGTGTAATTTTAAGAGACTAATTTATAAATCCTAATATTGTATAAGATATAACTTGTAATTTAACCAAATATTAGGGATAAGTTTATGCATGGATTTTTTTCTTTCAAACCTCTCGTTACTGCGTCGATCTTTCAAACCGCTGGTCTCCACTCTCCAGCTTATTTAGGTACGATTCTTCCCTTTTTACTTGAAATTTAATTTTTTAAGGGTCATTTCCGTAGTCATTTCGTTTTAAGCTCCTCTGTATTTCGTTTTAAGAGTTTAATTTTTATTTGCTCGTACTGATTTTTTATTATTTTTTAGATTCATCTCAATGTTTGTTTTAAGCTTAATTTCTTAATGTTCTACAAATCAGTATCTTGTGACTGAGCACCCACGTTTTAGGCCAACAGAGTTAGATCGTTGCTTCTCAAATCTCCATTTTTAACGCCACTGAATAGAATTAAGTGTTTCACGCATGCTTACCAAAACTCCATTTTTAACGCAATTGAAACTGACTTTTTCAAATTCAAATTTCAACAGAGTGTTTTGCAATACTAGTGTTTTATTATGGTGTTTTATGAGAATGATGATTGTAATACTGGAGTATCAGATGTCACAAGTATTGCCTGAAATTTTAGAATGTTGTGCCAAAGAACAAAAACATTATGTGTTTGTCATTTATGTTTTCTAAACTTTAATTATGTCTTTTTATTATGGTGTTTTATGTACTTTAAGATCTATATTAACACTTAACTCAGATAATCCTTGGTTTATTTTATTATGTTTCTTAATAGATATGTTTGTTTTATGTTTGTTGCTTATGTATAACTTAAGTTTGTTGTCAGGCGGGTCTAGTCGGGTACGTCTCTAGTGAGTAGTGGGTGTAGGGATGGATTTGAGAATGTACCCAAGTGGGCGGGTGTAGATTTGAAAATTTTTACCTATCATGAGTGATGGACGGGTGGTGGATTGAAAAATATTATGTGGGTATAAGGATGGGGAGGGGTATCCGCACCCGCCCGCATGTTTGCCATCCCTAACTCAAACACTTCAACAAATAAGAGACGGATAAGAAGCCAAATTTGCCTCCATAAATGACGAGTTGGGAAAATATTTGGACTTAAGAAGCCTAGAAACAAGAGAGTATGGATTTATAGAAATATGCCGGCCTTGTTTAGCGAGCATAGCAATATTGAACTTGCCGAACTCCCGAAAGCCCATTCTCCCTCCTTTAACTTGCACAACTCCGCCCAGCTACACTAATGCGTCCCTCTTTTATTAGCAGACTTTTGCCACCAATACGGCGCTGAAATGGCTTCAAGCTCCTTACATAGACTGCTAGGAAGTAAAAAACAGGAAATTGCATATAAAGGGATAGATTGAAGAACAACCTTGATAAAGACCTCTTTACCTCCCATAGAGAAAAGTCGAGAACTCCACCCTTGGACGCGATTGTGAAACTTCTCCTTAAGTTTAAGGAAGGCGTTCCTCTTGTTTCTCCCAACAATGGATGGAAGGCCGAGATAGGATTCAACATTATTTGTAATCGCAACATCCAAGACTTGGCAGAACTCGGATTTGGCAGTCTCAGTCACATTAGAGCTGAAGAAAGCACTAGATTTCTCAAAATTCAAACCCCCTTCTCTCGAAGCCTCTTCAAAGATAAGGCTATCATCAGAGAAGAAGAGATCCGTTATTAGAGGTGCACTCCTTGATATACGAACCCCTTTGAAGCTGCCATCAGTAGAGGCCGATAGGAGAAGTGAGGATAAACCTTCACTGCAGATAAGAGACTGAGGATACGCACTTCATAATCCAAGAAATCCAAATTTAAAAAAAAAAACCCATCTTTCTCATTATTTGTTCTACAAAATGCCACTCCACACGATTATATTTCCTACTCATGTCAAGTTTAAGCGCGAATGATACTTTGCGACCAGTTCGTTTCTTCTTCAAGGAATGTAGGACTTCACAGGCTGAAATCACATTATCAGTAATAAGCCTACCAGGAATAAAAGCGCTTTGCGTTTCATCTATACAGAGGTGGATTGTGGATTGGAGCCTGTTTGCTAACATTTTTGACATAATCTTGAAAATGAAATTACAGAGACTTATTGGTCGGAACTGTGACATATTCCTTAGATCGTTCACCTTAGGGATAAGAACATGTGCGTGCGATTGATAGACGACATAGGAAAATCACCTTTAATAGCAGCTATGCAGAAATCAGAGACCTCAGAACCGATGATGTGCCAAATTTTTTAATAGCAGGACCTGCCGATACATTATTTTTTCCACCATTCGAATCCAGGTTTTCAGAAACAACCGGTGGATTTTCCACAGTTCGCAGACGTTTGGGACCATCATTAATTTTTGACTGGATTGTCTTCATCATCGATGTGCGTCATAGAGTCCACGTCATTAATCATGATGTCACCAAAATTACTCTGATTTATTTGTTCATTTCATATGGTTGGTGAGCTGGAAGTTCCCATAAATGCTTGGCTGTCACCCCCATTTTTAGGATCCTTGTTCCTTGAATTTTGGGATGACTGAGCAGTAATCAAGGCAAGCTCTCTAATATCCATTTTGTGATTGGCATTGATCGTGGGTGGGATGGATGTAACATAGGAAACGTTTTCCCCATACCCCACCAGATTTGGTTGCCATGAATGAAAGTCAACAGCCCCTTCCTCCCTAAGCCATCTGCTTTGCGGCTGCGCCGCCCTTCGTGGAGGAGCTCGTAGAGACGCATCCCACTCGAGATTAATGTTTTGGTTGATGTTGTTAAGTCGTTGAGGGCAATAACTCTCCCCAAGGCCTAATTTTCCACAGAGAAAACAAAAGACAGTGAGCTTTTCATATTCAAAACGAACGTAATGTTGATTACCATTGCCAAGGATTAGTTTTTTCCGTCGTTTGAGAGGTAGTCTAGTGTCCAGCCGAGCTCTTATTCTCATAATTCGTCTATAACCCAAGGACAATGCTGTTGAGTCATAGTCAATAAAAACACCCAGAAAATTACCTAAAGCTCTCGCCACTTTTTTGGACATAAAGCCAATAGGGACATCATGGACTAGCACCCAGTAATCCAGAAAAACCAATAGGATTGCCAAGGGATCATCACCTGCGGAAAGCCTGTGTAAAATTAACAAATGAGAGTTAAAATTCCAAGGGCCTCCTCTTTCTAACCGATCAGCATCAACGGCATTATACAATCGAAAGATGAATCTCCTTTCTCCAAGATCAGAGATGGATATTCCTCCAATAGGATGCCATACATTCGCCAAGGTGGTACGCATCGATTGAAAATTGATCACACTAGCCGTAAGAAAACAACCGACGAAACAATGTTCATAGATTCGTGTGTGTCATCCAAGCCAATCACAATCTGTAAACCTTCCTCTTCTATTGTACTAATCGACAGGCCAGTGAGATATTGTTCTACATTCGACATATTGCAACAAAACGTGCTACAAGAGTAGAAAGAAGCGTGCTACGGGAGCAGAGAAAACGTGCTACAAGAGCAGAGAAAACGTGCTAACATTCTTGTATTAGTGAATAGGAATAGAGTATAATCAATTAATTTGTATTCATGAATAATATTGTTTATATTTATTTAAAGATTGTTTGACAAATGAACTCATCAATTGATTTTAGAGATTAAAGGAGTGTTTTTTTCTCTCTTGAGGTTTTAGGTTCAAATAATTGCATTTGTGGGTGTGTTGTCAATCGAAATAATTTCGATCAAAGATCGGTTAATAATTTATATTTTTAAATTGAGAAAACGTAACGTTAAGTATGATTTTAGAAGAGAAAAAAAATTAGTGACCAAAACTAAACAAAAGTGATAGTTAGGTTACTAAACATGTATTTTATCCTATAAAAGTGATAGTGACCAAAACATTTAAGAATCTATGTCTTTCAGGTAATAAACTATGAAAAGGTAGCTAGGAAACGTTTCATGAGCATAACTAGCCCTAATTTCGTGGTTCAAATGCTAATGCTTTAAAATCCGATGACCCGACTTGGGATTAATTGGGTTGGTCCATTATGACATTACCCTAAATGGGAATTTCTAAGGGCACCTTACCTAAACCAATGGGTTCAGCTTCCCCCCAACTACCTTATTTTCAGCTGTCCAAGTGGGGAAGACAGGTAAGGCCACCTACATTAACCCCTTTACCAGTCAATATATTAGCTCACCTGAAAATACAAAAACCATTTCAACATTAGCCAAGGACTTGTTTAATTTTGGCTATATTCACTATATTGTCCTTGGATGATATTTATTTTCTCAATTTGGTACCTTTACTTTCACTTTGATACCTGAACTATCGACTATGTTCTAGTTTGTCCCGAAACATATATGCGTCGAATAGGAATGTGTTGCATGTCATGTTCTTATTGGTAACTTTTTTTTGATAAAACAAAACAAGATAAAATTAAAGTTCAAGTATCGAATTAGAAAAATGTATAATTTAAGGATTAAATCATGAATTAAACATTTAATATTTTTCATTAATTTCTTTTGGTGTTTTGTCTGTGTTTCTTGTAAACAAAATATCTTTATATACCCAAACCCCACCAAAACTCCTTCCGAAATTATTACCGGTTGGTCTAATAGAATAATAGGTTAATTTTTTTAAATTAAATTAAAAGTACGAATAAATAAATTTAGATTCAAAATATTATATCTCATTATGAATGTTTAAAATATTCGATCTAAATTAGTGAATTAATAGATGAAAAAGTAAATGATTAAGGATGGATCGAGCGAAGGTAGATGGGGCAATCGTCTCCCTAAAAATTTAAAATTATTATATATTTTAAATTTTTCTTACGTATTTTCTATTGAAAATTTATTTTCGTTGTACGCAATTTTATAAATTTAAATTCAATTCTTAAGTTCGAGTAACATAAAATTATGGGTCGTCCTAATGACCCGAAACAGGCTAAATTTACATACATGCAAACTAAGCTATTCATTTAATTCTTGCTTTTGCTTGTTGAAGAGTGTCCAGTTTGGTGTGTTAGTTTATCTCCTTTTATATTCTTTCTTCACTTAAGGCATCCCAGTTTCCATCTCGAGTTTCACCTTTCCTTCTCTCAAATGGAATTGCCCGTGAAGTCACCGGTTTCCGGTGGCCGGAAACCTCCATACAGATTAGAGACTAGAAATTTGTCTTACAAGCTGAGCACCCCATTTGAAGACTACTTCCGGTGGATTTTTTGCAGCGGTCGGAATCGAGATAGACCTGCGAAGTTCATCTTGAAGGGTGTGGATTGTGAAGCTAGGCCCGGACAGATTACAGCGATAGCAGGACCGAGTGGCGCAGGCAAAACTACGTTGCTAGAGATTCTCGCCGGTAAGATACCGCCTTGTGAAGTGTCATCAGGGGAAGTTCTCGTCAACGGCAAGCGTATCGACGTTAAACATTTCCGACGAGTTTCGGGATATGTCACGCAAGACGATGCGTTGTTTCCACTGCTTACGGTCGAAGAAACGCTCATGTATAGCGCGCTTTTGAGGCTACCGGGAGGGAGGAAGGAAGCTGGTTCTAGAGTGAAAGGGCTGTTAAAGGAGCTTGGATTGGAGCATGTAGCGGGTTCGAGAATCGGTTACGGATCGAACAATGGCATATCAGGAGGCGAAAGACGACGAGTATCAATCGGAGTCGATTTGGTTCACGACCCTGCGGTTATCTTGATCGATGAACCAACTTCGGGATTGGATTCAGCATCAGCTCTTCATGCAGTGACACTACTGAAATCCATGGCACTCAATCAAGGTAAGACTATCGTTTTAACCATACACCAACCTGGTTTCCGGATCCTCGAGCTGTTCGATCGCATTGTGTTGCTTTCGAATGGATTCGTTGTCCATAACGGAGAGCTCAATCTTCTCGAAGACCGACTAAAGTTAGCCGATCATCGAATCCCTCGGCACGTAAATGTCCTCGAATTCGCCATCGATGTCGTCGAAACTCTAGCCTTATTGAATCCAGGCACACTAAGCAACATAAACCACGGAGGCATTCGAATAAGGAGCCCTATCGATCTCGAACGAAGGCTTATCGTTTACCCGAATTCCCGATTCAACGAAGTCCTGATATTAGGCCAAAGATTCTGCAGCAACATCTTCAGAACCAAGCAACTCTTCGCAACAAGAGTTATACAAGCCTTGGTAGCCGGAATCGTACTCGGAACCATATACTTCAACGTCGGAAACGATAAAGGAACCACCGCATTACAAACTCAGACCGGCTTCTTTGCCTTCACGCTCACCTTCCTACTATCTTCCACCACCGAGGGACTACCAATTTTCCTACAAGAACGAAGAATCCTAATGAAAGAGACATCAAGAGGAGCCTACAGAGTTTCCTCCTACGTCCTAGCCAACACCATCGTTTTCCTTCCATTTCTTTTGCTGGTCGGTCTCCTCTTCACCTCGCCGGTCTATTGGCTCGTCGGCCTGCGTCGAGACGCCGTCGACGGGTTCCTTTACTTCTCCCTGGTGGTCTGGATGGTTCTTTTGATGTCCAATTCATTCGTGACATGTTTCAGTGCACTCGTGCCCAACTTCATCATGGGGAACTCCGTGATTGCTGGTTTAATGGGGTCTTTCTTCCTGTTTTCTGGGTATTTCATAGCTAAAGACAAGATACCGGATTACTGGGTTTTCATGCACTATTTGAGCTTGTTTAAGTACCCATTTGAGTGCTTCATGATCAATGAATTTGGGGGGGAACAAGGGGAGAAGAAGTGCATTGAAGTTGAGAACGGTGAATGTAGTTTGTTCGGGAGTTGGTTCCTTAGACAACAAGACCTGAAAGATTCACAGAAATGGACCAATTTGGCTGTGATTTTGGGCTTCATTGTTGGGTACAGAGTGCTTTGTTTATTGATTTTGTGGTATAGATGTTACAGAGCAAGAAACTAGATGTATAATAATATCTTTATTTTCTTTTTTCATTATTATTGTTCAAAATTAATAACCCTGTTGTTATTTGAGGTATTTAGTAGTATTTTAATTTTTTTTACTTCTATTTGAATTTTGAGGATGGTTTTGATATAACGGATATGTTTGATTTATAGAATGGAAGATTATTTTTTATTATCAAGTTTTTAGAATGTAATATTATATGAGATAAATTATGAGTTTAGAACCTAAATTATTAGTTTTGGTTCGTTTTAGTATCTAAATTTTCATTTCTTTTTCAAAATCATACATAACGTTTAGTTTTTGTTTCATTTTAGTACTATGTCGTTAAAAACTTAAGGGACGGGCTAACGTGGTATAGCTTCGGTAGACGAATGACCAATCCGAACGGTGGACCACGAGAGAATGACAAGTCGACCAACATAGTCCAGTTTTAGACCCATAGATCAGTGGACCATTGAGATCGAAAGATGAAAAAAAATCAAAGATTGTATCGTCGATTTGGGGAGATTGAGGCATTTCCATCTAGTTCAGGGAGTCAAAAAAGTGTGCGCTTGGGGCAATGACGCAGCTCATGAGGTTCTAACCGAGGCGCGTCTATTGCTGGTTGAAAACTATTTCCAAACTGTTTTAAGGCCATGATAATTGGAAAAGACCGTATTGAACCATAAAGAATTTTAAATCAGATTACTTGAACTGCGCAACAAATTTTTACGAAATTCATATTTTAAAATATACGGTGCTCTATACCTTGAAATGTTTGTGTACATGCAGAGCTACATTGAATAGGTATGTATGTGATATATGGATAAAAGCTTTAAAAGGGTCCTTTAAATATCAATAAGGTTAAGATTCATGACACTGGTTTTCACTATAATAATGCATTTTGATTTTATCTCTTGAATGTTAAGATGAGATCATTATTTGGCCACTTGTCTGAACTGCAAATATGTGTCCTGTTCTGTCTATGTGCTCTCCTTTGTTGGGAATGGATATGTAAGACGGACTATTGCAACGTACCTTTCCTCTGAATTTTCCTTGTGCATGTACGTTTAGGACAGGATTTGAAGATTTCCTGTTAAAGAAATAAGTCAAAGTTTTCTGTTTTATCATGCTAGACAAGATTTAGCGTTGTATAACACCAAAAAGATAGGTTTTATATTAGTAGATATACCCGTATATTATACAGTGATTAGATGTGACTAAATTCATGCAGGTATGAGCCACTGTCCCGTCTACTAGGCTCGGGGTACTTTCTTCATGCCTATGGTCATATATATGCTCTTTCTGCTGATGTTGTTGCAAGTTTGGTTGCTCTGCGGAACAGCAGGTACTCGTATTATTTCAGGTCTAACATAATTATCTGTTGAACAGTTTCTCTCTTTTCTTATGCTTCTTGTTCCTTGTCTGTATTTGGATCGGGGTTTTCACTTGCTGACGGTGTCAGGTTTCCCCCTAATTCAATCGTTCTTTTGAACTCAACATGCTTGGTCTAAAACTAAAATGTTACTCAAATGTTTCAACTCTTGTTTTCAAATATCGAGTCAAAGCCAGATTTTTTTTTCTCGAGACATCTAATATAACTGGAAAATTTTATATTATGTTCAAGCTTTTCATCTATCCGTCCTCCTCCGCTGTGATTGAGGAGGTTGAGGAGTTGGTTATGATGCAAATTGTTGATTTTCTTAAAGAAAATTGTACTATTTGGAAAGCTTAATCCAATATATATTTGGCAACATATTCCTCCTCTTTGACTACTCATTTCATAACATTGGTTGAGGCAATGTTATAACGATGCATCCATTACGGGTTCTTTTGTATAAATTGCAGTATTCGGATGTTTAGCAATGAAGATGTTACAATCGGTGCATGGATGCTTGAAATGAATGTCAACCATGAGCATAACCGAAATTTGTGTGAGACATCGTGTTCGTCGACATCTATAGCTGTTTGGGATCTCCCCAAATGTTCAGGTTGGTGTTGAGTTTGTTACCTTAAAAATTAATCAACAAATAAAAGAGGTTTCCATACATGATCCCTGAGTATTTGTGATTTTGTGTGGCATAAATGCTTTATCTCTCTCGAAATTTTACGTAGGAAGTTTCTGTCGGTCATATAGCGGGGTACACGAGCTGATCCACGGATATACAAGATTGTAGGTGATATGGACCTACTTGATCATCATTGATCAATGGAAAACTTTTGAATCCTTTAAGCTGAAAATGGTTGCACAGTAGAACAATGGCTTCGGAAGCTATATATAAGCTGTGTTATAAAGTTACTCTTGTCTCGTAGGACTATGTAATCCGGAAGCACAGCTATTGGAACTCCAACGGCAAGAAATCTGCTCAAATAGTTCGATTTTGACATCGGACGATAAATAGCTTTCCTTGGTCTAAATTGAAACAGATTTTTCCGATCTCGACGATGTGATTGCTGATACAGTTGATAAGGTGTATCGGAGAACTGCTTACTCTGCTAAGTTGATATTGCTGCCATGGTGCACTTCTTAACTTCCCTCCTTAAATTATACCAAGCCATTTTTGTCTTCTACAAAAGGTTAACACGACGATGAGAGTAGCTGATACAGTTTTACATTACCATTCTTTTTACCATTTCTAAAGGTTAACACGAGAATCCGATTCACATGGTTCCATTGCCTACTGTAAAATGTACTCTGCTACTAATAGTGATTGGAATTTGCCACATATTACATCAAATTTCATGTGTCAGATCACAAATGAAACACATGTGATGTATGTAAGCACATTGAGATGTTACTCATGCATACATATAATGATACAACAAACGGACCCCATTATCATTATCATTGAAGTGTGTTTGCCATGTGGGTTTTTCTGAAGCTTATCCAATCCCCCAAATCCCTACTTTATTTCTTGCCCATTGTGCTCCATTCATTTGGTTCAAAATCAATTAAACAAAAGCATGTTTTTTTCATTGGACTGATTAACAAAGAATGAAATGACTTGTTGTTTATGGTTGCCCATGATTCTACTCTATCATTCAAGTGGAGCTTGCTTAGCTTCAATGGCATGCACCAGCTTTTGTCCCCACTCATCAAACCGCCTTGCTGCGTTATTGGTGTTTGAACTCGTAATTTTAAGAATAACAATTATTCCTTTAATTATTGAGATAATTCGGTTCGTGTTATTATTGAAAATTTTGTGAGCCAGCACTTTTCTTTTAAGTTGAAAAATATGAATTTGTTATTTATGGGTATTTTTTAAGTAATAAAATGCATGCCTTCTGTCCCACTAATTTTGTCATTGGTTGATTTTTTAATAGTCAAAATTTTTAAACTTTTACCATGTTTATTTTAAATATTTTAATAATTAAATTTTATAAAATGTATATTTAAAAATTACTTAACTAAAGATTTTTAAAATATTTTTCATACTTTTTATCAATAATAAATTTAAATAATAATGAGTGAAAACTAAAAATTTCTGACAAAATAAATCAACAATAGACGCATTTAATAGAAGAAGTAAAAACAATGAATCCATGAGATGAAAGGATAGAGATATAGAAAATAATTTAAACAATAATACATTGTAAATAAAATATAAGGTAAATTATACATTTAGTAATTAAACTATCAGTTTTTATCAATTTTAATATCTAAACTTTTAATTTTTCAAAATCATGTCTAATGTTTAGTTTTGTTTCATTTTAGTACCTGTCGTTAAAAATTTAACGCATTTAGTACCTAAACTATCAATTTTGGTTCGTTTTAGTGCCTGAACTTTGAATTATTTTTAAACTTAACATTAAATTTTGAACAGACGTACTAAAATGAAACAAAAATTAATCTTTATGTATGATTTTTTTTAAAAAAATTAAGAAAAATTACGCATTAAAACGGTTGAAATTAATTGTTATTATTTCTTAAGATCTTAATTTCGATCATCATAAATGTCAGAGATATAAGTGTTTAATGTCAAATGGTTGAAATTTATCTTTTAAAAGAATGTACTTACCCCAGTTGGGGAAAAATGAAGAAAAATATTAAAATAATAAAATTAAATCATATTAAAATAAATTTTCTATCCATTAGATTTTCAAAATATATAGCATAATAATTAAACATATCATATTATTATAAAATGGTCATTGCTATTTTCTAGAACCCAAAGGATTCTTAATTTAAATATATATTGAATTGTATGGGTAATAATTTCAAGGTAGCATATGCTTAGAACTTTTTAATTATTTTTTTGGTATAATAACTATCGGTATTCGATTTATTGATCGATTAATTCGGATCGGGTATTGCAGAGGCAAAGGCGACCATCCCAACCCAATTTTTTCCATTCGTAATCGTTAGAATTCGATCATCTGACTTTGCATAAGGGATCTAATGCCTCATTTCACTAGTCTAACTAATTGTTGGTGAATTTTTTTAATTGTTAATAATGTACATATCCTATGAACGTAGCTATTTAAATTCGAGATTTTAGAAAAAATAATATTTAAATCATTCAATTATACTAAAACCATGATTATTGAGTTTTATGTATACGCGTCAATTCACGTGTGCATGCACATGCACTTGAAAACAAAAATAAAGTAAAAAATTTGGGAAAATATCTTAAAGCAAAGCCTAAACAAAAAGTATTAATTATAGAATATTAGAACCATAATTACAATTTTTATTATATTTTACAAAGCTTAATATATATAATAAGATGGGTGCCATGTGCTCTTCCACCTCCTCAAATCCACCTTAATCAAATACAAATCCTGCATTAACAGATTTTTTTTTTTACAAAATTTATGAGTATTGATGTGCCATTTTCTACCGTGACAGTGATGACATGTCTCTCTCTCTAAAACGACGTCGTTTTGGTATAATTGTTTTGATGCTTAAAAAACCAAAATCGACGTCGTCTTTTTGTTAAAGTTATTTGAATAAATAATCACTTTCTAGGGGATTTGAACTAAGATTCTCCGAGAACTAATACAAATACCCAACCACAAAGTTAACCTAATAACTTATTACATTCTTAAAAGAACTAATATAAAACTTCCTAACCAAATCAATATCTTCCTTAACAACCAAGAAATTACATTGAAATGGAGCAACCAAAAACAGAGCGACCATATTTCTTCTTCCTTGTTCACCCATTGCTAAAAGCTCGAGTTTTCCAGTAAAGAGACTGCTTATATAAGAACAAAAAGGGATACTTCCAGGTTGGATTTTCGTGGGACACAAATCGTGAAAGCTTTTAATGGCGACACTATCAACGTCAAAGATTTATATATAAAAAAGAAAACAAAGGTTTGACTTGAAGAAGAAGCAAAAGAACAGAAAGAAGGAAGGATGAAAGATTTGGGTTTTGGATTCTTGCTTCTGAATTCACTTTCTTTTATTGATTGCTTCTCTGTTTTTCTCTTGTTGATGATGGATTTTTATTTTTTTCATGTTTTAGGGTTAGGGTTGTAAATTAGGATTTTATATCAAATAAATTATTGTTAAAATGCCAATAAGGATCCTATTTGAATTAAATGACTTTAATGAAACCGTCTATGTCATCACCGTCATGGCAAGGGGATGCAATGTCAGCGTCCCGTTAACGGATTAACGGCGGGGTGGCATAATTGGAGTTAAACATAAACATCAGTGATAAAATTGACAAAATTAAAACGTCATAGGTATTTGAAGTAGTTTACCCTATAAAATTGTATGCTATATATGTCCCTGATTTAACCCTATAAAGTTGGAGTTTTTTTTTTAAATAATCAATATTCGGATCGAATCAGATCAAGTTTGAGTTTAAGATAAAAATATCCAATCCAAAATAATAGTATAATTATCCATTATTTTTAGTGATAATTACAATAATATTATCTATATTTTTTTACAATTAGATTTCATTTCACCAAATAAAAATGATTATATATATATATATATATATATATCGGGTCGGACTTCAAATAGATGGGTTAGTTTTTTTGAGTTGGATCAAATTGGCCGAAAACCCGATCTAACCTGATACTTCCCTAATCTAAATGTAATGTGTATTATTCGGGTTTATAATTTTATGGTGTCGGGTCTAGATTTAAATTTAAAATCTTAAAATTTAAATAATATGAAATATAAATTTTAGAGCGTACGTGTATTAATTAATATATATGTATATAAAAGACAAACATATGAGGAAAGAAATAATCAAAATCCTAATAAAAAATAATTTTGTGCAGATCAAAATAGAAACATCAACAGTCTGGGATGTGTTGAGGGAGAGGGTGTTGACAGTCATTTTCTATAAATTTAAATTTATTATATATTTTACATGTTTTTATATATTTTTTATTAAAAATATATTTTTATTGTTAAAATTTTATAAATTTAAGTTCGATCTCATAAAATTGTACACGTTTAAATTTGATTCCGTTACATAAAATTATACGTTTTCTTTATATATTTTTTTCTATTATAACTATTAACTCTTTATCCCTCTGTGTGTGTTTCTCTCCCTAGGAGGAATGGAGTCCAAGGAACACTTTTTGTAGGAGACAGTGAAGGCTTTAGATCATCTGCCATTCATTTTTTTCTGCATGTTGTTTTCAGACAGTTTCCATAACTGGACCCCCACCCCTAAAACTAAGGGTACTTCCCTTTAATTAATAATCCTTGCTTGTTTTCTTGTTTCTTTGCTTCAGTTTTATCCTTCATCATATCATTGTATTCCAAGAACTAATAAACTTTTAAAATAACAATATCATTTTCTTGTTCAAATCAAAACGACAATATCGAATAATAAAAATATGATAAGTGAAGATAATCAGGATCGTCTCAAATGATGCGAAGTTCATGTGTTATTTTTTAAGCTGAGGTCCTTGAAATATTTTATAATAAAGATTAATTTATCATATGATACACTTATCATTGGATGGACGTGTAGATAATATCATCGTCTAATGATGATGATTAATTAAACACTCAAGAGTTCAGGCAAAAGCCAAAGTCCCCCTTCTCCCTAGAATCCTGGTTTCATCGTCCCATTACCATGTGGCAATCACGTGCTTTCCCTTATCTTATGTTTAAACATGAAATTTATACGTGGAATGGGTAGTACCAGGAAATTTATTTATTTTTCCTTTGGGAAATTGGACTAGGGATGGCAATGGGTCGGGTCGGGTCGGGTTTTTGGGCCACTCGACCCGACCCGAGAAGAAAGGGTTCTCCACCCGTGACCCGACCCGACCCGACAAAATTAATGTTTCACCCGACCCGACCCGACCCGAATATATGACTTAGAAACCCGACCCGACCCGACCCGAAATAATAAAAAAAAAAATTAATTCAATGAAAACAGTGACTAATTGAAAAAAAATTATATATGGAGGGATATTATTGTAATTATCCCTAAATATATAAGATAAAATTATATATATTTTTCGGGTCG